AGCGTCTGCACGAGCTGGGGTTTGGTAGAACGGAATCATGACTCCGTCCACGACGCCCACACACCCTCCAGGGATCCCCTCCTCCGCAAACTTCTTGACAAGGGCGGCCCTGGTAGTCGAGTCTGGCCAGCGCATGACCTGCTTCTCGAGGGAGATTATAGCAACCACAACACGTTTGGTCCACAATGTCGCTGTGCCCTCTGTCACCAGAGTCAGCTAGTGCTATGCATCTGCCAAGGAACGAAGTCAACCTACCAGAAACTCCAAAAGTATGGCCGACACCGTTCATGTTTGCGCCACTACCATCGTGACCCAGACGGTACAACGCGACCGAGAGCTGGTACATTGGTGGCGCCTGCTTGCGAGGTCCACCTGTTTGGAAAATTGGGTGGTGCTTTATGAGTTCCAAGAGCCCTGTGAACTCACTCGGCGTGAGACGGAATCTCTGGCGGAAATCTGTCATGTTGGTGGTATTTTTCCTAGCTGTGGCATGGATTTTGTCGATGGTTTTTTGCCAGTCACGATCACGGAGGTTGCCATATACCTTGGGTCTCTTCATGTATCGAGAGCGGGCAAGCGCGGTGTACATGTTGATGAGAAGGTCCTTGTAAGGAAGGCGGAGGGCAATGGCCAAGCAGGCCATGCGGCGGTACTTGGCAAGCTTTCTCTGTTTTGGGCTGACGCGGCTCATGACGATAGGAGGATGTAGGTGCGTGTTAATGGAGACAAGAGGGGAAGTGGATGGAGAGGATAGAGGGCAAGAGCAAAAGAAATACATTCGACATCAGTCTGTGGGCCAACACGTTTGACGCGTTTGAGACGGACGCAATCTAATCGGGTCCAGACCTCTGCAGGGCCAGCCACGTGTTTATCCCTGAGCCAGGCCCTAGCCCTGAGGCCGCCAGTTTTTTAAGAACGCCAAATTGAATTCCCCTAGTACTTCAGCTCTTTCGCCAGAGGAAACTTGGACCCGTGGTCTCATCCAGGTGGGGGAGAGTGTAAGAGGCTTGCCTCATACCCTTTCTGAACATACAACCCGTCGACCCTTTTGGCTGCGATTCTTCTGTTTTGGCTGTTGGACTGCATACAAGTAAGCAATGGTGGAGGGCAGCCTGTTGCGTTTGACTGTCTTGACCCAGCAAATGAGAAGCGCTCCTGTGATGCATGCATGCAGGAGGCGGCCTGATAAAGCTGTGGGATGAAGGGCGGAAAGAACTTAAACAAATGAGAAGCGCCTCCACTTGTGTTTATGTAATGTGTATTGCCTGTCATTTTGGGAGTTTCGCGGAGCTCGCCGCTCGCGCAGACGGGGACTTGGTGGAACGTCGACGTGGCTTCTCTTTCTTTGCCCGCCGTTGTTCCCCGTCTCTTGCCCTATTGCTGTATAGCTCAGGTGTCTGTGTGTGCGTTCGTAATAGCTAGGACTGACTTCTGCCCAGAGTCACCGCCCTCTTGTCTGTGTGACAGTTATATGTATTTGGGGTCCTGTTCGCTTCAGGTTGCACCGCCCCGCTCGATCCTTCGCTGTTCTCCGCTGTTCTTCACCGTTACCCGCCATTCTTCCATCCTGCTAGCTCATAGCCGAGACTGCCGCCGTTCTCCCCCCCCCCCCCC